TTTTTTTGTGCATTGTGTGTGTGTGTGTGTGTGTGTGTGTGTGTGCAATTTTTGTGTGTATTTGCTGTTGTGTGTGTTTATGCGTATGTGTTTGTTTATATTATTGTTTATGTTTGTATACATTTTTATATGTATGTGTTTGTGTATGGTTATGTGTCTGATTTTTTTTGTGCATCATTGTTTGTGCATTTGCTTTTGTGTGTTCATGCATTTGTGATTATTTGTATAATTGTGTTTGCGTGTGTGCATGTGTGTGTTCGTTTCTTTTGTATGTGTCTATGTTTTTTGTTCATTCTTGTGTGTTTGTACAATATTTTTATTTTTTATTTTTTGGTATGTGCATTTGCTTTTGTGTGTGTGTTTGATTGTTTTGTGTGTTTATGCATTTGTGCTTGTTTGCATAATTGTGTTTTTGTGTGTGTAAATGTGTGTTTGTGTGCATATGTGAATTTGTTTTGTGTTTATTTTTCGTTGTTGTGTGTATTTTTATGTGTTTGTGACTGTGTGGTGATTACGGTATGTTTATGTGTCTGATTGTTTTTTTGGTGCATTGTTGCGTGTGTTTTGCATTAATTGTGTACATCTGTGTGTGTATATGTAAGCGTTTGTGTTTGTTTTATGCATTTGCATAAGTTTGCAACGAGTTTTTTGTAGTTGTATGTATGTGTATGTGTCTGCATCTGTGATTGTTGTGCGTTTTTGCAATATATGTGTATTTGTTTTTGTGTTTATGCTTGTTTTGTGTATGTTTTTGCATTTGTGCTTGTTTGTGTATGGATATTTGTATTTTTTATGCATTTGTTGTGTATTTTTGTGTTTGTGTCTTTGTATATGTTTGTCTTGTGTGTGTTTTTGCTCCTGCATGTTCGGTTGTTGGTTTGTGTATTTACGTTTACGTGATGTGTGTATGAATATGTTTGTGTGTTTCAGGAGAGTCAGGTGGAGGTCATGCACCTGCAGCAGCAGAAGGAGGAACTGTGTGCTCAGATCCGTGACCTGAGCGTCCCTCTCCACCTCACCTCCGACTCCATCCCTGAACTGAAGAAGAAGCTCCGTGAGCTGGAGACCAGAGACAAGGAGCGCTCGGAGGAGATCAGCCAGATGACTGCCAGAATCAAGCAGCAGGAGCAGGTATAGGAAGCCAAGAAGAGTTGACCTTTTGTAAAGGTTATGACGTCATAACCATGAGCACATTAACATATGACCACCCACATTTAAATAAGTCTTAAAGGTGCAGTAACCCAAACAGGCCATCTGAACTCTGTTCTCCACAGATGCACCTGCGCTTTGAGATGGAGATGGAGAGGATGAAGCAGATCCATCAGAAGGAGCTAGAGGACAAGGATGAGGAACTGGAGGACGTGCAGAAGTCCTCACAGAGACGGGTCAGGGACGCAGAATGAATTACAGCTCGTTAGACCACCTTACAACCCTGTCTGAAACATCCTTTCCTGTCTGCCTGTGTGTGTGTGTGTGTGTGTGTGTGTGTG